TCGATAAGTGACGGAAAATAGGTGGACTAAAGGGCTTTGGATAGATATGAAAAATTAAAAGCCGCACACGATGTGTCCACTGACCGATTTCTTTCGACAGAACATCTTTAGCCTGCGATAATAAAATTATGTTATCAGAAATGTGTACCGAAAGGAAATGAATGGCCGTGTTAAGAAGACCACCCATTCTGATAATTAGCGATGAGATGACTGACGCAGCCAAGGTGTAGAACAAGAGTTATGACCACCGTCTTGTCCTGTTTGCGGCTAGAGAAAATGATAACTGCGATTAAGAGGAAGAAAAGGAAAAGAAAAGATAATTTTTTTTAGTTAAGCAAGATATTTTTTTTCCTGAAACAAAGCCGCGGATTCGTCCACGCCCGACTGGGACATCATTGGTCGAGTGGTGATCACGTGACGCACGAAGGAGGCTGTCGCCGCCCATCCAGAGTATAGGTATGAGAAGCTGCCACGAAGAAGTGGGGAGGGAAGCTCACGCCCCTCTGAAGTATGGTGAGAAGGTGGGAGTAAGAAAAGGCTCCCAAAAATGGAAAAAAGTGGAAATTCCTAACCAGAGAGGTGGATATGTATTTAGAATTACCGAGGAACCCCCGACGCCGACAAACTCACCCCGGTTTTGGTCGGCGTCCATATAAGCGAAGCCGCAGCAAGCAGAAATCAGTTCGAGTGGAGTTGCAGCAGAGAGTTCGAAGCTCGCAGTGGAAGTTGGTTCCGCCTCGCAGATAGCTGACTTGAAAGATTCACGCAAATTCCGGACTCCTCTTCAATCCAAGAACAATTATTTTGAAGAGCGACTTAGATCCAGACCACCAAAATAAGTTTTTTTCGACTTTCGTCCGAAGACACACCGAAAAAACAATTTCTTAAAGAGCAAACAACTTGAAGCGTTAAAACTCGCCTAACGGAAACAACGTGTCACAATCCATAAAACGGGTCGGGAGAGAGACGCAGTCCTATGTATCGAACAACTAGACATAAAGTTTGTTATTCTTTTTCTTTGATACCTTGGACTTTTGAGTTATCATTTTATTTTATTTTATGCATATTTGTGTGGTGTCACCCCCGTTGAACCCGATTTGCATTACGGCCCCAACTACTGATTGATCTCGTCTGCCTAAGATCAATTCACAACGTGGGTAGGCAGACTGGAGATCAATGCAGTTACCTTGGTAACCAGGCGTTGGAAGCGAGTTGGGAACGACGAGGCTGATATCAAATCTAACCAGATTCCCACCCGAATCACCAAAAGGTTAGAACGTCACATTTGGGTGCCGCGATCGATACCAAGCCAGTTGGTCGTCACAGGACGAGACAACACGACTGACGCGACAGGCGGACGTCACGTTTGGAGCGGCGACACCCGAACGGAGCAGCGAGGAGCGAACAGCTGGCGCCGCGGCGAGGACGTCACAGTTGGGGCCGTGGTAGACCAGGATAGGACGTCACAGTTGGCGCTGCGACCAGGGGACGACGTCACAACTGGTGCCATGACCAGGATAGGACGTCACAGTTGGCGCTGCGACCAGGGGACGACGTCACAGGAATTTCTTATCATAGAAATGCATCCTCGTAACAATGGTTTTATTTCATAACATTTAAATGTATAACCTTTCAAAATTTTGATAAGTGTACCGTGATATTTTCATTTGCTCCGAGGTGTGCCGTTGCTTAAAAAGTTAAAAAAAACACTGGTTTATGACGACCGCATAGGCTTGTACTGCTTAATAACCTTGGGCCCTTTATCAAAACTTCCACCTCACGTTTCGCTATCCATTCACACAAACTCGTCAGATATGTTGACGATAACTCTCCCTGTTCTTTTTGCCTGCGATATGCCCTGTGAGTGTCAAATTATTCAAGCCTTTCCTCATTATGTGTCCATGAAAATTCTTTCTCATTCTAACAGTTGTCCCTTCATTTGTGAGAAATTGTCTAACATTAACTGCTATCAAATTCCTAAAGGATCTTATTTTTATGTTCTCCGAGGAGGTATCTAGTTTATACTTGTTATATAGGAACAAAGTGTCGCTGCCGACACTTGCGTTTGAACATTGATCTCCTTTGAGCAATCACAGGCGATCCCATTATTGAATTAAGTAAACCACGTGACCCTAGAGAAAAGGAATAAGTAGGAAGTCGAGTGACGTCTAATTGATCATCAATTTTTCTTGTCTATCCTATATTACTATTCGGATCTGCATTTCTATTCTATCCTCTATTGCTATACGGGCCGCTATTCTCTACTCTATTCACTATACTATTTCTATTTTCGGATCACTATACGAATTACTATTCGAGCGAGTATTATCGAGCAAGTACTATTAGTGCGAGTGATATTCGAAGGCGCCTGACACAAGTATTGTTCAACGGCGTACTATAAATTGTATCTGCGATTACAAAGTCTCTACTACAACGAGCATTTACGAAAGTGACAACGAGTATTCGTTGGCATTACAAAAGTGGCAACGAGTCTTCGTTGACATTACAAAAATACTTTCAATATTTTCGGGATTAGTCACAGTGCTCCGATAACGACTTGCATGACTGCCACCTTCATGTTCTTTATGATTATTAATAGCGGTCACAATTTTAAGCTTAGTTAATAGTTATTATTCTTACTCATTTAGTTTGATTTTGTTTGTTTTTTATTACGGCATATCAACCTCAATGGGTTATTTAATGCCGATAAGATTTTTATTGCTGGTAATATTTTATTCCAAAACTGTATTGCTGGTATTATTTTTCTTTTCAAAAAATGTACTGCTGGTAATAATTTTCCCAAAAAAGCATTGCTGGTATTAAAAGCCATTTTTATACTTTCATAGTGTTTTCACCCCTTTGGTGGGGAGTACCTATTTGCCCATAGCTGGGTCCCTGACAGGTGCTACAACCCAGAGTCAGGGTGAACCTGGGAACACCAGCAATTAAGAGGTGGTTCCATGCTCCTCAAAACCTTCTGATCAACGGTCTTGTTGTCGGATGTAGTTTATCGTCATACCCAGAAAGCTGATGTAGTTTATCGTCATACCCAGGATACATGTATTCTGTAACTAACGTTTAGACTCATTGATAATAGTCTGATTCCTGTCCCTTCACTGGTGACAAAATGATCAAATTAGTTTATACCTAAAATGTTTGTCACTCTAGTCAAACTTGGTTCATTATTATTAGAGTACGAGATTATTATGTAATATGTATCCTTTTAGATAGAGAAGAGACTTGTGATAGTAGAAAGGTGGTTGTACAGAAGGATGTTGAGAATGAACTGAACACGTAGAATGTAGAATTATGACAAATAGTTTCGTTCTCCTAGTTTCACTGACGGCAAAATGATCAAATTACTTTACACCTAAAACGTTTGTCTGTCTAGTCAAACTTAGTTCATTATTATTATTAGACTTGATATCCTCTCCGACTTTGACATGTTTCGGCTGTGTCATGAGGATCATATGTCAACTATTATCCGGGTCTTATAGACGCAACACATTCATCAACATATGCTGCCACCTTCGCACTACCAATGATATAAGGTATCCCCAAATCTTAGAAACAAAGAAAGGTGAACTTGACTCTTATGCCATGTCGGTCCTCCTATATGGGATGGAACGCTGAACGATCGTATCATAGATGTAGAAAAGACTAGAGGCAACAGAAATGTTGTTCTACAGAAGGATACTGAGAATACCATGGACTGAAAATGGAAATAGAACACTTATACATAGAATCAGGAGGAGAGTTCAAAGTGCTTGCGATGTGATGCTGAATTTCTTTCATTCATGAAGCAATTAATGACCTTCACCTTCCAGCAACAAGAGCAATATTTTACTAAGAGTGGGTCAGCGTTAAAATAGACCCTCTCGGTAAATCTCTGAAGTTGATATATTGGATAGGTTCTCTCATAATAATTCTGTAACTAACGTTTAGACTCATTGATAATAGTCTGATTCCTGTCCCTTTACTGATGACAAAATGATCAAATTAGTTTATACCTAAAATGTTTGGTTCATTATTATTAGGTTTGATATCCTTTCCGACGCTGATATGCTCAGGCTGGGTCATGAGATACCCGGAGCTCAGAGACATATTTATCAGCCCTTGCTGCCACCTTCGCACCCCCAATGATATCAGGTATCTCCTAGTCGTAGAAACAAAGAAAAGGATACTGGACTATGGCATCACAGATGAAGAAGAGACTAGAGGCAAAACAAATGTGGTTCTACAGGAGGATACTGAGAACACAATAGACTGAAAATGTGAGCAATGATAAAGCTTTAAATTAAACCAGTCCACTCATGACTCGTTGGGTCAAGCTTGTTGGATTACTATTTACATTTAGTTTCATGAAGAGTTTGTGAAAGTAGAGATATTTTAAAAATACATTTACTTGCAGTTATTGAAGTTGCTTTCAACATAAAAAATTTCTGTTTGAAGAAAGCTGAAATAAAAAATACTTACTGTATAAACAAATAAGACTATTTAAAATATTATTAGGCATTAGGAGCGATAACAAAATTTACTGTCGCTTGTTAAATTTTATTAAGCGCAATGCCTTGAATGACGAATAAGGTAAAACGCAGTTTTTTCTCGCAGAAATCCATCTTGCACATTTATAAGTCCACCATTCGTCCATGCATTGAATAGTGCTGTCATATCTAGTTTGGTGTGCCTGCTGTATATCTCCGGAATTTTGAACAAAATCCAAAGAAGGATCTGCAATGAAATCAATCCTGACCTGGCATCTCGACTTCCGTCACTTTATTCTCTCCGTCTTTTTTATAAATATTTTCATGTCAACCATTCTGAGCAGCGTTTTTCCCCGTAGTGCCTCGACTACATGAATTCAAGCGTGCTACTAGATTGGCAATTAGGTCTCACCGTTTTACTGTTGAACGAGATAGATGCAACCGTATTTTCTATTCTCACATTTTTTTTAGATTTCTTGTTTCTCTCCATCTCCAGATAGAGAGATAGATATGTACATACTGAGATAAGAATGGTCCGAAGATAGATAGATAGATAGATAGATAGATAGATAGATAGATAGATAGATAGATAGATATGAACAGAATTAGATAGATAGATATAAACAGAATTAGATATATAGATACATACATAGATAGATAAGAGAATTACATAGATAGATAGATAGATAGATAGATAGATAGATAGATAGATAGATAGATAGATAAGTGACTGAAATAGATGTATCACTTATAGTGTATAATTTATCTGCAGCTGAAAAGATATTTGCGTCTTACTTAATTCACCATTCAAGGCCTTGGACTTAAGAAAATTGAACATGCGACGGATGCAAACTCGCTACTACTGTGCCCACTGTGCAGATATTCTGAAGTAGATGCAAAATGAAAAGTTGATATATGACGCATGCGGCACCAAACGTAGTTCCATCTCCAAAAACTGGAGGGTGGGATGCGTAGACACCTGATTGGCCCTCATTTCTAGGAATTCTTGACTTTTCAATGACGAGCAGCCAACAAATTGCTAATGGTGGGTTTCCCGCCTCCATTAATATCGAAAAATGACTATTCAGCTCTTACCGCAGTCAAAAAAAAAAATGAATTCAGCACGTCCTTAAATCTAATGAGGGACGAGCGAAATGGTAAGAGATGTTTCGTTAAGCCGCCATTTTGTGACATTACCCAGTCGTGTAATTTCCCGCCAAAACCAAGGATCGGATTTCACCCCTTCGAGAACATTAAATAGAAATAAGAGTAATTGGGGCTTTTCCTTGAGCATACACTGGACCAGCAGGCGTTTGACGTATCATATTCGACGATAAGGTTCTGAATGGATTCCCACCGAGAGAAAAAAATAACTGTTATTCAAAATAACGGCAGGGAAAATTGACCTTTTAAGATATTTTTTCTTTTTTTTTTTTTTTTTTTCACGTTCTTTCTTAGGGTTTTTCTTTATTTCTTTTTTTTCAATATTTTTTCCGTTACTTTATTTCCAATTATAAAAATGTGACATTTTTCCATCATTATCCTGACAGGAGTTGGCTCCTTTCTGCGATAAAATACCTATTTGTGTAGACATATCTAATAGTGCAATGATTTCTTTCTTTTGCTTTGCTTTCATTCTTTTTTTGCCTTCTTTTTACCAGACTGACACTTATAGATAGATAGATAGATAGATAGATAGATAGATAGATATTAATAGACTGAGATATAGAGAGATATCAAGAGACTAGGATAGATAGATAGATAGATAGACAGGATAGATAGATAGATACTAGATAGGGATAGATAGATAGATATGAACAGGATGGTATAATATATATGAATGATATACATAGACAGACAGATATTAATAAATATATATATAGAGAGAGAGGCATGAAGAGACTAAGATAGATAGATAGATAGATAGATAGATAGATAGATAGATAGATAGATATTAATAGACTGAGATATACCGAGAGATATCAAGAGACTAGGATAGATAGATAGATAGATAGATAGATAGATAGATAGATAGATAGATAGATAGATAGATAGATAGATATGAACAGGATGGGATACATATATATGAACTGACTGGGATAGATAGATAGACAGACAGATATTAATAATATATATATATAGTGAGAGAGGCATGAAGAGACTAAGATAGATAGATAGATAGATAGATAGATAGATAGATAGATAGATAGATAGATAGATACTGAATGAAATAAGATAAATACTATATCAGATTTAACCGTGTAAGTCAATGTATCACAATTTTATTGTGAATCAACAGATGATAAAATGTTCAGGATATACGTAACCGTTCATGATATCGTGTGACTGTCAGTTTATAATATCTCGTCATATTAAAAATATCAATAACAACTTGTTTTCTGGGTGTCAACTTCAATTTTTCAACATGAATTTTTATTTACAAATAAATCCGAAAGATTTGGCTATAAAAGCATATATTTTATTCGCGCAATTTCCCATTTACCGGAAGAAATTTTTTTTATTTTTATTATTTATCTTTTGCTAATGTGCGCTTCTCCTACAACCTACCATCATTTTTTCAGCCATCAATATTTTAAACTTTTCTCTTTCGACTTAAATTTGACTTGCAGCAGTTTTTATTGCTTTTCAGAGTTCTTCTTTGCTTTTATACTATTTTGTGTTCTCGTGGACATTTCTCTTCGTAAAAACGAAAGCTGTTAAGTATAAGGTCATGGGATAGGATTATGGATGCCCGAATTTGAAATTTACAAAAAACAAAAAAAAACATACAAACCTGAAATGAAATCTGACCATACTGCGAAAATTTCTTGCTATTTATATCGTCATCTTCCTAATAATCGCCTTTGCTAACTCTTAGCGTATTGCTTCCGAAAGACGTTGTTTACAGAGTAGAGTAGGAAAAGTCCAGAAGTCTCTAGAGCATTCTGTTTCCGGCCAGCTGTTGAAATTGATCATCTTTTGGAAGAAACGCGTCATTCTTGTCAATCTTCAACGGTCGCTTACGCTTAACTTTACAATCCAGTTTGTGGTAAGCCAAAGGCCACGTTCTTCACAAACCCATTGAGTCACTCAATCTCTGTTTCGATTCGGACATTTTATTTTGGTCTGGTTGACGCATAATTTAGTATAGAAAACTGCCTCCAAAAAGGTGTTTCTGCTTGCAATTTTAGTTTTATTTCTGTGCCTTTATCTCCTATTTGTTCTCCACATAATCCAAACAGAGAAAGTGTGTCTGATAGGAAATACTTAATATGTTTCCTGGGCTTGTACTGCAGTCACTTATTGTTGAGGGGTTCTCCCCTTTTTACACAAATGGACTCACCCAATATATGCATATATTACTGCTACGTGAAGAGACGAGAGCAAGACCGGAAGAGAGGGAGAGTGAAAGGTTGTAGGTAACCGGAAGAGTGAGAGTAAGGTAACAGACAGACAGAACGAACGTAACAAGTAAGAGTCACAGTGAGCGAGCACGTAGACTTAGTAAGAAGTCATACAGCGATACTTCAATACCAAAGACTGTATAGATATTTTGCTACTAACACGTATTCCTGGAACTACTAACCTGCTTTACCAGTTTGTATTATTACGTTAATACATTATTTTCCTATATTCATTCTTGGCGTTGTTATTTATTGGTACCAGATTTCATCTCGGAATCTACAACACTTATCGCTTTTAAATCCTCCATAGAACGTTTTCTTAATCAAACGGTTATCACCAAATTTTACCAGATGCTCTGCCCACTAATTTGGAATAATTGTCTCCCTATAATTTGAGGGAATTCGTAGAAAAACAAAACAGTCTTAAATGTGACAAGATCAATGGATATATTGTACAGGGTGACAAAAACAAACGGGAATTTTTGAAGTGCGTATTGCCAGTCATGAGCAAGTGGCAACACTGCCAGACAGTGACCTTGAGGAAGTAAACATTTCGCCATTTAGAATTCAAGATAAAATTCACAGTATCCCAGCTGAGATGTTGCAGCAGTCAATGAGGAATCTCAACAGCAGATTTCAAGAATGCATTCGTACAGGAGGACACCATCTACAGGACGTAATTTTTAAAAAATGAAAATTCCATCATTGTTTCTTAAATGGCATGTTTTAAGATTTCAATTACTATGAATAAAATATTTTTCTTCCACCACTCTTGGTTTTATTGGATTGTTAAAAAGTTTCCGTTTTTGGGGTGGGGTCACCCTGTATTTTTCTAAGACATCGTTGATGGAAACTTCAAACCACTTTTTAATGTTTGTTTGTTTGTTTAGCGGGATATCAACTACTTATGGGTAATTTAAGGTTGGCTTATTTTCTTTAACAGTTGGTTATTTAACGCCGACAAGATTTTTAGGATAGGTTCGTATGAATAGAATATGGATTTTTTTTTTTCAAAAATAGATTGCGGGTACTTTTTTAAAAAAATGTTGCTGGCAATATTTTCATTCAAAAATGTATTACAGAGGAGGCCCGGTGGAGTAATGGATAGCGGCTCTCGGAGAGCTGAATTCGAATTCCAGTCGAATCCTTCACATTCGCTTTCTATGGAAAGGTATGGATCCTCTTCTCTTGCCCTGCTATTTAACCATAGCTGGGTAAATAGCAGGGCAAACCGGGTTCTATAGCAACTGGTCTAGCGCAGAAAGAAATGGCAACCTACTGCGGGAAAAATCTGCCTCGTCCGTCATATATCGAAAGAAACATGATCGCTTAAGCGTGTATCATGCATGGCACATAACTGACTGATTGCGGGTATTTTACTATAAGAATCTATTTTTATATTTTCATTGACTTTTGACCCCAGTTTTGGGGTTAACTATTTTCCCATAGCTACCACCCCGAGTAATTTAATGCCGAAAGTATTTGGAGCATTAGTAATTTATTTTACAAAAATGTATTACTGGTAATTTTTTTCAAAAATGTATTACTGGTAATTTTTTTCAAAAATGTATTACCGGTATTTTTTTTCAAAAATGTATTGCTGGTAACTTTTAATGAGGAAATGTATTGCTGATTTTTTAATAAGGAAATGTATTGCTGATATTTATGCAATAAAATTTGTTCTACTAGTGTTTTGACCCCAGTTTCTGGGTTAACTATTTTCCCATAGCAAGGACACAAACAGGTGCTATCATCCGATGTCAGGATTAACCTGAGAACAATATCAATAAAGAGGTGGTTCTACAGTACTCAAAACCTCCAGATCAGAGGCCTTGTTGCCGGATTTAATTTATTGTCATGCCCAGGATGATCGCTTTATGTTATAAGTAACACAATATTCACACAACTATTAGAACACACGAATAATACGGGCATTTTAGCCAATTTAGATCATAAATTTTTCGTTGAAACGAAAAACGGTTATAAAAAAAAAAATTGAAAATCTTAGTAGGATTTCTGCAACCGTAGATTGTTAATTAAAAACAATCTCTCTCTATTCTCTCTCTCTATATATATATATATATACATATATATATATACATACATATATATATATATATATATATATATATATATATATATATATATATATATATATATATATATATATATATATGACGTTTGCCTGATATCGTAACTGTCAGGTTTCAATTCTCAGTAGTGCATGCACACTAGTGATGAGTCCCAAATATAGGACAGAAACGGCCGTCCAGTGTTTTCTGCATTCTGTTGAAGTTTCTTCTAGACTTGATGAATTAATTAATTATGATTATCTCAAATCCTTCTAATAATTTCTATCACTTATATAGTATATATATATATATATATATATATATATATATATATATATATATATATATATATAAATATATATATATATATATATATATATATATATATATATATATGTATTTAATGGGCCCGATATATGTGTGTTCACGTACCATATATTCTGGGATAAACCTTGTGTAACAGCAAAATTGTTCAAATTTTATAACAGTAAAATTGTCCAATTGTTAGATTAACCTTTGACCCGTTGTATCAAATAATTAAAGCTATCTTACTGGAATCATCCGAAGTTTTTATAACAATATTGGACTCTTTGAGCAATAAGAATGTATAATTACTCTCCAAGCTTAATAGAAGAATCGCGATGAAATCGATCATAAACGAAAATAACATGTTCATCATTAATTAATCATAGTTAAGGATCGGAAGCACATGAAGTAATGAAATCTAGTTCAAAATATATATATATATATATATATATATATATATATATATATATATATTCTAGGATGATTATCGGACTTATTCAAGATTATCTTCGCCCTCTCTAACTTTCTAACTTTCTGTTCTGGATTAACAACGATTTCATTTTCTAGTCTTTTTCACTTTCTTTTTGGACTGTCATAGGTGAAACTCCTCTATTACATGTCAAACGTCTTATGGATTCAGTTGGACCTTTTTTATTTGATCTCTAGCTCTAAGTTGAAATGATCCCTCTTCCTGTTGTGAAGTTTTGATCCAGTTTGCCTCTTTACTCTTCCCTCTTTTTAAAACTTATTCACCATTTTCTTAATGGTTCTTGAATGAACTTTGAAGATGGAAACCAGGGTATGAATGCTGGTACTATTACTAAAGACCTGAATGATCATTTTCCTCTCACCATTGCTCATTTGTGAAGAGAGTAGATAAACGCAAAACAATTTTAAGCTAGTCTATTTTTAGCTGAATAACTCAGAGGGCTTTTTAGTGATTCTTGCAAAAAGATGGCTAAACGTCTTATTTGAAAACCTGGAAAAAATAAACTCAATTAGTTTAGTGGTTGTTTTAGATATAAAACATTTTGTGGGATGGATAATTAGGCTGTTACACGATTTCGACAATTTTGCTGTTACACCCAGTATATATACCTAGTACTCTATAGGAACCCTGCTAGACGCAGCAACTCGATGTGGTATGGATACACACGGTTATCTGTTCCACAAAGTTACAATTCTGATAAAGATGTTTGAATGGAATTTTCTCTGTACATTTTGAACACGGAGGAAATGTGCGTGATTCGAGTCAGATATTCAACTCATATATCTTCATTTTTAGTCTCATCTATTATAACCTTGAAGCACGGCAGAAGCATCTTTTATATCTACAACTCTTGATAAGACGATTTTTGTAATCTTTATAACGCGCACACTAAAGTTAACTCTATGCTGTAACTCTAGTTCCGACACACGAAATTGATTTTCGTCGGCTTTATTAAGACTAGGCGATCGAGCAACTAAGAAACGACAACCTTTATGGACAAACTGTCCAGCTGGAGCTTTAGGGACCCTAAGTACAAGTGCCACAACAATATGTTAGCCATTGTGAGAATATTAGCTGTCGGGAGCGATCTTCACTATCGGAGCTTGCTGTTGACAATATTTTCCCGCGAAGAGCACAAGTGCAATTGTTACCAGTCATTATCGCCGCAGTTTCGTCTCAGTTCCTGACAACTCCCGCCATCACGTTCGTCTGATTTTGATGATACGTAAAGAATGGCTGTCAGCGGACGCTCTTCTTCACCGCAACCGTTTTCAAAAGATCAACATTCCGAGATTAGAGCTTTTGGCGGGAAATTATCACAGACTCGATTTCGTTATCTTTTTTTTATCATATTTTATTTTTTTTTTTTTTGACTGTTCTCGTTGAGTTCTGATTTTGTTTACGCGTTCGCTTTTCGCCATCTTACTTTCTCTTTCACTGTCAACTTTTCCTAATTCTTTTTCCTCTCTGTTTCCTAATTCTTTTTCCTCTCTTTTTTTTTCTCTCTCATTCTATTTCTCTGTGGTGTCTTTTTCACTATCCTTTGTCCTCTCTTTTCTTAGTCTGTTATAGCTATCCCTGTTTCTATCTATCTATCTATCTATCTCAGTCCATGTGTATCAGACTGTTCATATCTATCTACCTATCTATTTCAGTCTTTATATCTATCTTTCCCAGTCTCTTCATATCCATCTTTTTATAGTTATTTTTACATTTCCCTATCTTTTTCACAGATTCCTTTCTTTCTTTCTCTCTTTTTGTTCTTTTTGTTCTTTATTTCTTTCCTTCTTTCTTTCTTTCTTTCTTTCTGTTATTTCTTTCTTTCTTTCTGTTATTTCTTTTCTTTCTTTCTCTCAATAATTTTTTAAGTCTTTTTCTCATTCTCGCATTCTCACTTTATTTCTATCCCATTCTGTTCATATCTATCTATTTATCTATCTATCTCAATCTGTTAATATCTAACTAGCTAACTAGCTAGCGAACTAACTAGCTAGCTATCTCAGTCTGTTAATATCTATCTATCTATCTATCTATCTATCTATCTCAGTCTATTAATATCTATCTCATTTTTTTAATATCTATGTATCTATCGATCTATCTAGCTCAATCTGTTAATATCTATCTATCTATCTATCTATCTATCTCAGTCTGTTAATATCTATCTCAGTTTTTTAATATCTATGTATCTATCGATCTATCTAGCTCAATCTGTTAATATCTATCTATCTATCTATCTATCTCAGTCTGTTAATATCTATCTCAGTTTTTTAATATCTATGTATCTATCGAGCTCAATCTGTTAATATCTATCTATCTATCTATCAGTTTTTAATATCATCTATCTATCTATCTATCTATCTATCTCATCTATCTATCTGTTAATATCTATCTCAGTTTTTTAATATCTATGTATCTATCGATCTATCTAGCTCAATCTGTTAATATCTATCTATCTATCTATCTATCTATCTATCTCAGTCTGTTAATATCTATCTCAGTTTTTTAATATCTATGTATCTATCGATCTATCTAGCTCAATCTGTTAATATCTATCTATCTATCTATCTATCTATCTGTCTGTCTGTCTGTCTGTCTGTCTCAGTCTGTTAATAACTATCTAGCTAGCTAGCTAACTATCCTGTCTGTTAATATCTATCTATATATCTATCTCTGTTAATATCTATCTATCTAGCGAGCTATCTATCTCAATCTGTTAATATCTATCTATCTATCTATCTATCTATCTATCTATCTATCTATCTATCTATCCTAGTCTCTTCATATCTATCTTTTTATAGTTATCTTTACCTTTCTCTATCTCGCCATGCTACTTTTTCGCTACCTTCATTCTTTCTGGGTTTTTTTCTTTCTTTTCTCTCCTTCTCTCTTTCTTTCTACTTTTCTTTTTTTCTTTCTATCTTTCATTCTTTTCTTTCTATCAATAATTTTCAGTCTCTTCCTATGGCCGCCTTTTTTTCTTTATTTCCGTCTTCTACACTCGTTCAATATTTCTTTCTTTCTCCTATTTATCTTTCTTGCTATGCCTGCTACTATCTATCTATCTATCTATCTATCTATCTATCATATATATATATATATATATATATATATATATATATATATATATATATATATATATATATATATATATATATATATATATATATATATATATATATATATATACACTTACACTCTGAGTATTGATTTCAATCTCCACTTTTTATATATTTTATGTTTTGCGCCTTTCGTCTGAATGCATTGTTCTGTTTTTCGTAATCATTGTTGCCCTCAAATCACTTGTCACCCTCTCATTCTTCTCCTTTGTCTTTTCTTTCTCTCTGTCTTTCTATCCAATATTTCCCCTTTCTTTTTCTTCGCTTTTTTTTCATTCTCCTTTCCCTTTTTTTTCTTTTTCGTTTGCTTCATGTCATTATTACTTTCTCTTCTTTTTTTATTACTTTCTTCTTCTTTCTCTTCTCCTGTCACTCTTTTTTTTTTTTCATTCATTCAGTCTTTCTCTTCTCTTTCTTTATTCGTATCTATTTCTTCAATTTTATGTTAATCTGTCTCTCCTCTTGACTTTCTTCCTATCTCTTTCTTTCTCTTCGTTTTTATCTCTTTTCTCTTTTGTTCTTTTCCGTCGTCTTCCCTCAATATCTTTTTATCTCTTTATTTGTTACAGTTTCGTTCTTTCTCTTTTCTTTCTATCACCCTTTCTGGCCACTTTCTTTCTCTATTACTGTCTCGTTCTTTCTCTCCTTCTGTTACTATTTCTCTTCTCTTTCTATATTTACTCACGTTATTTCCTTTCTATCACTCTCTCTCTTCTCTTTCTCTATTTCTTTCTGTTCTTTCGTCACCCTTTCTTTTCTCTTCTCTTTCTTTATCACGAACTTATTCTCTTACTTCTTTTTTCTGCCATACTTTCTCTTTTTTTCTTCATTTTATCTCGTTCTTTTTTTTCTTTTTTTTCTTTCACTCTCTCTTCCTTTTCTTTATTTCTATCTCCCTTTTCTCTTCTTATTCTGTTACTGTTTCTTTTATTTTCTCTTCCTCTATTTCTATCGCTTCATGATTTCTTCTTTTTTTTTTCCTTTAATTTTCTAGTTCAAATCATCCGTCGTGTTAAATGGCACAGACTAAACGATGATTTTCAATTATGATGGGAGTTAGGGTGTAAATGACAGCTACAAAGTGTTACCTCACGGTTAGCGCCTTCGATGCCAATAATCTACACCCCCAATCGACACCACGCCACCAGTCACCCCCCACCACCACCACCAAATATTGAGCGAAATCAAATTTTACTCTGTCTTATTGGTTCTTCCTCGAATTCAACTGAGGTGAGGACAATGACAAGTGCCGAGGAGGATCATCTGAGCAGGCTGGCACATTGGTGAAGCTTTACTTAATAGAAACCTTACAATGACTTGCTAAGTTAATATGTGTCGTTTTGTTAGAGAAACATTTCAGAACAGCAGGAGACATATGACCCAGTGGTTCGAGGTCCAATGCTTATTTCCGAAATTATTTAAATTATACTTGCAAAACTTCCAAACTGATCAAAATGAAAAATAAACTCAGTTCAGAGATTAAAAACAAAAAAATTCAACTTCATATGTAATTTATTATATAGTGTAGACTGTTGTATTCGTACACACACACACACTAATACATACACACACATATGAACACACACACACATATATATATATATATATATATATATATATATATATATATATATATATATATATATAGTTGTCCACAGACAGACTGTTTCGTTGTATCACAGCTCATTAATGTGGCTAGACATCCCATTGTTTCAAGCCGGGATCGAAAACATCAGTCAGAGAATCTACCCCCAAGTTATCGTCGCAAGAAAAGAAAGAGAAATTTCAACGTTTTTACTATACGAAAGTCGTCAGTGGCTAGAGGAGCTCGATTCTCGTAGAAGAGCATTGCATTAGCAGCAGTAGCCACTGTTTATAAAATCACCCCTTCCTCTCCAAGAGTTCAATCGAATTATTTCGAGAGCATAGTACAGGTAATAAATCCGATGGTATATAATCCAAGTGGATCCTAATAATATTAAAAATGATCGACAAAAAGAGCTCAATGTATTTATTATAACAGAGCATATAAATTACATAACAGAGAAATCCCAAACTACCTCATGAGAATAGATTATTTCAACTAGCGTCAATACGCTAGCATTTTTCAACTCAAATGGTGAACTAATACAGTGTTAGAAACTTAAATTTAATATTTAAAAAAAAGAGAGACAGCGGTTGAAAATATGAATTTGAACTAACCAAACGAAACGCCTAAGTGGTGATAGGGGGGGCGGATGTTGCCTAGCTTACATGGAAAAAGCCTTCACAAAATTTGACCCAAATATTAACTAAAATCCCAAATTGGAGTTATGAAAGAAATCGAAAGAAAATAAAATTTGTTTGGGAGAAAAGTAGATTGGCAAAAATGATTGGCAAAAATAGAAAACTTAATCAATTGAAGAAAAAAACAATAAAAAAAGAGAAATAGGAAAAAGATAAACTGATTTCTAGAAGAATATTTCGAGAGAAAAAGATTTAAAAAAAAAGTTATTGTTAAATTTTCCCCTCTCTAAAAAGGGCGGGGTGAAATTGAAAATTAAAAGAATGAAAGGAAATAAAAATAAAATCGCAGATAATTTGACAGAAGGTCAGAGGAAAAAAAAAAAAAAAAAAAGCATAATAACATGTTTAAGAGGAAAGCAAAGAAAGAAAAAGAATATGAAAGATAGAAAGAAGATAAAGGAGAGATAAAGATAGTAACATATAAAACTAGAGAGAGTGAACAGAAAAGAGAAAATAAAAGGAAGAGAGAAAGAAGACATTCTGATGAATCCACGGGAAAGAGGAAGAGTGGTTGAATGGAAAATATGTTAGGGAGTCGAAGTCGTAATGGTGAAAATAAAGAACTAATATATAAATTGATCGAAGAAAAAGATAAGAAAGAATGGTAAAATATTTAATAGAGAAAGAGGAATAGAAAGAAAGAAAGAAAGAAAGAACGAAAGAAAGAAAGAAAGAAAGAAAGAAAGAATTTAAATAGCCGATGAGAAAGAAAGAAAGAAAGAAAGAAAGAAAGAAAGAAAGAAAGAAAGAATTCAAATAGCCAGAGTTGAATAGAAAGAAAGAAAGAAAGAATTCAAATAGCCAGAGTTGAATAGAAAGAAAGAAAGAATTCAAATAGCCGATGAGAAAGAAAGAAAGAAAGAAATGGTCGGAGATGAGATAGAAAGAAAGACGAAATGAAAGAAAGAAAATATCAATAAGGAATGTAAGTAAGATTACAAATTTCGGAGATAAGAAAGAAAATAGAAAGGAAACATCAGTAAAGAAACAAAGAATTCAAATAGCAAGCGATTGAATAGAAAGAAAGAAAGAAAGAAGGAAGGAAGGAATTCAAACAGCCAGAGACTAAATAGAAAGAAAGAAAGAAAGAAAGACAGAAAAGAAAGAAAGAAAGAAAAAAGAAAGAAAGAAAGAAAGAAAAGAAAGAAAGAAAAGAAAGAAAGAATATCAGTAAAGAAAGAAGGAATTCAAACAGCCAGAGACTAAATAGAAAGAAAGAAAGAAAGAAAGAAGGGAAGAAACGAAGGAACGAACGAAGGAAAAATATCAGGAAAGAAATAAAGACTCAAACTAGCCAGATATTGAATAAAAAGAAAGAATGAATTCAAATATCTATAGATAAGAAAGAAAGAATCCAAATAGCCATAAATGAAAAAGAAAGAAAGAAAGAACGAAAGAGTTTAAATACCTATAGATGGAAAGAAAGAAAGAAAATATAAAACAGAGATATAAACATTGTATATACGAATAAGTAATTGAAAAGTAAAGAGAAGAGAAAATAAAAGAAAGAAAGGAAGAGGAAATACTGATCTATCCACAGGAGATTGATTTGTTTTTACGGCTTTTCGGGTCTTCGATGAATGCGTGGCCGACTTCCAGACCATAAAATCCGGGTTCGGCTCTCACCAGAATCGTTTTCCTCGTGGATTCATCGCGCGGCACCGTGCCTGAAAACTAAACCACGGGTTGAAAATTAAATTGGGTAGACAGAAGTTACATGTCAACGTAACCTATGGTTTAAGCGTAATGGCCTTGTTCAAAAAACTGATCACGCCAGATTATGCGTTCTCTCCCAGATACTGTAACTAAGGTCCTCTCACTATAGTTGTATTATAAATCAACTGTGTGTATTAAGCAGGTGCTTGTAATAGAGTTTGGCTAACCGCCATAACATACGGGTGTGCTCAGAAATGAGTCGTGGTAGGTGATATAAAATCTTTTTCGATTTATTTAAAACCGAAATATATTTTATGTTGTAAGAACAATTCCTTTTTTTTTTTCGAGTGAATATTACATTAAACATATTTTCTTTTTTAGAATAACAATTTTTTTCAGATACACGTAATACTATTTAATCCATAGCTGGGGAGAATAGGTGGATGCAAGGATATTTTCACGTAAGTAAATGTAATGAACCCGACAGGAATTCGAACTCGGCGGTCTGATTTCTCAATCCGAGACGCTATCCATTACAATTCATGGTGGCATGTGGAAGTGGGTGAATGGGAAAAAATATAGGAACTGGACGTTTTAAAGAAAGAAAAAACAAAAGAAAATTACCAAAAGATGACGGTTAATGAAACAAAGAATTATTAAAATCAGAAGGAAAATGACGTCTCCAAAACAAAAGAGTTGAAAATATAGATAAAAATCCGATAAAATGGTTAAATAAGGAACAAATAGGAAATCAATTATGATTTTGACATGTTTCGCTATTATATTTAGTTTCATCAGAAATCAAATATCAATTAAAGTAATATGAATCAAATCCGACAAAATGTTTGAATAAGAAACAAGTTAACCGTTATCTTGCCTACTTAACCTCATCAGCGACATTTCTTGTCGTCACTTACGCTCATACAACTGTAGCGTTGCAGGCCAGACCAGATATTAGGTTCCTTCTCAGAGTCCAGCTTCTTCCAGTCAAAAGCCTGACTTAAAAATAGTCCTTCGTCTAGACCTTTACCTGCGAAATAATACCATGAGGATTCGTAGCAGTAAGAAGGTTTTATTGTAATCTACTGCTGTAGACGGGTGAAGCTAATATAAGGCGTAGGTAAAAAGTCTAACGGGCTGTCTTCCCACGCCGTTCTCCGTCAGCCCTTGCCGTATCTCTGATTTCTCGCGGGCAGTGGCCACTGTCTTATAGAGAACATTGTTTTTTATCTTGTCGTCGAGGTCTAAAAAGTAACTTAATTTAGTGACTCTTTGTCCAAGCAGCACGCCATATACTTGTGAAGTTCACTTTACTTACTGATAACAATCTGTAAAATAAATCTCCGAATCCATTTTTGTAAAAGGTCAGCAGATTTCCATTTAAGTGAACATTAATATAAATTTAAAGAAAAAAATGGACATACTAACGCCATAAAATGAATACGTGGCGTCTATCTAAGCAATGAAAAAAAAGTAAGATATAATTTAAAACTTGAAACATCTCTACAAAGATCCACCGAAAAGATAATTTCAGATGAAGCTAAATTAATAGCGAAACCGGTTAAACTTATGAAGGTTATCTTATTTTCTGTTTGAATTTCATATGAACAAAAGAACGTAGATGTAAAATTTCGAGATAAAATCTCGTTTAAATACAACTACTACGACTAATAATAATTATCTATCTGTTTCAGTCTGTTAATATCTATCTATCTATCTATCTATCTATCTTTTTTTTTTTAAGCGTTTCACCCCAAGCGAGACGGGAAGCCACCAGCACGCAAGGGGTTACAGAGAGTTGGAGCGAGAGTAAATAAGAGTGATAGAGGAAAGGATGAAGAGAAGGATAGGGGATAGATTAAGGCATCTGGAGACGTCGATTGACTTTACATTTGAATACTTGAAGATTATAGCTAACAGGGAAACAAAAAAAGGGGAGGGAGTTCCACAGGCGAGAGGTGCGAGACATGAAGCTATTGGAGTATAAGAGACGGCTACATTTAACAGTTTCGACAGTGAATGGGTGAGAGCGAGATGCCAGCCTAGTTGAACGCTTAAATTCATGAAGTCTGGGAACCAACGAAAGCAGCTCATCGGAGCAGTTACCGTGAAAGTATTTGTAAAAAAGACAGAGGGAGGCGAAAGAGAGCGACTGCAGACGACATGCCAGATCAAGGCCAATTACATTGCAGATCCGTCTTCGGATTTTGTCAAGGACCTTGAGATAATTAGAAGGGGCTCCAGACCATATATGGCAGCAATACTCCATGCAAGGGCGAATGGTTGATTTGTAGATTTGAAGGATCGACTCTGGTGAGAAAAATTTCCTGGCGCGGCATAGGGAGCCAATTTTCTTTGCGGTGGACAAAGCTATTGACTCAATGTATTTGTTCCATTTGAGGTCAGCAGTCAATGTGAGACCGAGCAGTCACAAAGAAGTGCTCTCGTGGAGATGAGCGTCAGACATTCTGTGGTGAGCAATAAAGAGCAGTTCCTGCCTCAGTCCACAACCGATTGGAGGTCCTTTTCAAGACAAACGGCCAGGTTAGTTTTGTGAGCGACACTAGATTTGTTTTTGAGGCAGGTGTAAATAATAGTATCATCCGCATAGATGCCTACTTGGGAACCTATGACGCTAGTCTCGTCATATCTATCTTTTTTATAGTTATCTATCTTTACCTTTCTCTATCTCACCACCCTTCTTTTTCTCTACTTTCTTTCTTTCTTTCTTTCTTTCTTTCTTTCTTTCTTTCTTTCTTTCTGTTTTTTCTTTTCTCCCCTGTTTCTTTCTACTTGTCTTTCTATCTTTCTTTCTTTTTTTTTTCTATCAATAATAAGTCTCTTCCCCTGCCCGCCTTTTTTTCTTTATTTCCGTCTTTTACACTCTTTCAATATATAGGATGATGATTTATCATTATTTGCATGGAGACTATTTTCCTCATCTTTATTGTTGTTATCCCAACGTTTTGGCCGCTGCGCTCTTCGGTCGTCATCAAATGCTTGTCGGTTCCGGTAACTTTCTCGGAATTTCGAACTCAACCCTTTACATAATCTACTCGTTCCTGTGTCTATGGATATCTCCCCTATTGTTCGATAATTGCTCGGTCTGTTTACACTGAGTCCAAGTACACACTGCCCGGCGCAGGGATTGAACTCACAATGGATGACCATCGAAAGACAATGCGCCTAATTTTAACCCATTTTCAGTTTTAAAATCATTTAATATCCACAATCCATTCATGAATTGTTTGGAAAGACGGGATTAAATTTCACCTTTCACAATATGTATATCATAAATTTCAGTCACGTGTGAAGCAAAATCACATGTTGAGACGCCACCTATTGAATAATATGACGGACGTTTTGTCCTATCCAATATATATATATATATATATATATATAAAACTGAACACTGAAGTCAACACTCAGATGCGACAGGCTGTTTTATGCTTGACGCAATTGTCTGGCCGCGAGTGTTGGATTTATATATATGGCCTGATTATTGCGTCTAGCATGAAACACCCTGTCGCATCTGAGTGTTGACTTCATTGTTCACTTTTATATTTATATTTACATACTCTCTCTGGTATTGAGCTCTTTATCCCATAAATATAGCACACCTTAAAACAATGTTTCTTCACACACACACGCACACACACACGCACACACACACATATATATCTATATCTATATCTATATATCTATATCTATATCTATCTATCTATATATCTATATATATATATATATATATATGAATGTATGTATGTATTATACACTGTTTCATTAGAACACGTAGGTAATTACTACAAAATTGTACATTTTGTTTCGACGTTTAAATAAATCGTTTCATCAGGTAAGGTAATTAACAATGATTGTAAGAAAACGATCTTAGTTTTTAAAATTGCAATGGGTTTTATGAAACATCACTTCATTTCCCATTTTGGTAAAAATTTTTCCATAGTCCGCTTATGTAAAGTAAACAGGAATTAACAATAAAAGAAAACGATCTTATTTAAAATTGCAATTTATGAAACATTTATTTTTTTGGAAAATAAAAGTAAAAAAAGATAAATAAAAAAAAAAAAAAAAAAGATCAACAAAAGGAAAAAAAGTAAAAAAGAACGGCAAAAGAAAGCATACGAAATAAACACTACTACTAAGAGAATAGACAAAAAAAAGAAAGAGAAAAGTATATTCAATATTATACTGATAAAAAGGAAGAGGAAAGTTAATAAAAAATAGCATGAAAATATGTTGATACGAATTAAGCCAACGAAATTCTCTTGAAGAAGAGATTTAAAGTTTGAACGGAAATGAAACGGCAATAGATACATTGGTTAATAGTGTTGCATTTCAAATTTTATGGCATTTTATATGAAATCACAAATTCATGCAAAATTATCCATAGAACGTAAATAAAGGACATTCTAAGAAGCAATAAAATTACTTAACAAAACCAACCTTACATTATAAATTAGAATATAAAATGAATTTTAAACTTTTAATAATTTTATATTAATTTTAAATTAGAAACTATTATCAATACAGCAAGAGAAAAAATAAAAATAATTATACAATTCTTGGCTAAGCATACTACCAGTAATTTACAAATACTAACCAATATAATACCTAAAGCTAGAATGAATGACTGATGATAACATTAAAATATTTATATAAAAATAATATTACAAAAGAGGAGTGATTATTGAGTTATGAAGTTTAGCAAGATTGTAAGGTTTATTCTTTAATATCTTTACAATTTACTATAGTTTCATATTGTTGATTTAATGTGTCATTATACAATTTTATTATTTCCATTTTCTCCTGCAGGGACAGAGAGCATGGTTCGCTCAGCGATCTAGAGATTCTCGCTTGTTTAAGAATTTTCTATTAAACTTTAGGTGTTTTATATTCCTCTTTTAGTTTCGAAAAATATTTAGAAAAGCGAAGTCATATTTCGTTTATCCGCTTTAGTAAAGGATGAGAGATGATTATAGAAAAGCTTTTTAAATTGATTCATTATACTTCCAATATATATTTTAGAAACGCTTGAATTTTCTACTGATGAAATAGAACACATATACAGAAGCACTTCTTAGATCAAGGGCATTGGTCGAGATTTCTAAAACTACAAATGTTATTTATACATGACAAATTAAGGTCAGCATTAGCATTACGATTATTATTGTTATATAAATTCAATATTTTATTGTTATGTAATTTAATTATTTTCTCTAAATTATTAGTGCAATTATAACTAAGTTTTAGAGTGTTCGGATTGAAAATTTTACTTAAAGAATTATTTTTAGGAAAATGTTTATCAATTAATTTTAAAAATTTATGTCCGAATTTAGTATGAACTAATTGATTGAATGGCGGATTATACCATATGATCTTCCTGTTTCTATAATCTTCTACAAATCTTATTTCAGAAGATCTGAACCCACTATCCCTAAAAACTTTATGTTTTATGTTTTTCAAATATTTCTTTGCTAGAAGGGTGTTGATTAATACGTTGTTCAACTGATGATGAAATATGTTGAATTAAAAATGGTGGGTGATTAGAACTAGAGTGGATAAAAATCGGCTTGGCATTGTTTTTCATGTAAGTTTGAAAATTATTTAAAACCAAATTTAACGTTACGTCTAAAAAATCAACTTGTTTAATATTAGAATTAATAACTACGCTAAGACCAAAAGATTAAAAACCTCTATTGTTTAATTTTCTAAATTTATCAACCTTGCTCTCAGTAGATTTATTTACGATCATGAGTCCATCATCTCTATAAAGGCCTATACTATTCAAATCAATCTCTGCATACGCAGTGAAGTTGTACAATAAGAACAGTGCAACTAAGTCCGAAGACACTGCAGAATCCAATGATCCCAATGTTAAATCGAAATTATCAGAGAAATTTTTTTATCCGCTGTTCGTTGTCGTGTATTAAGACTGATTTTCTACAGTTTAAACTAATGTCTGTTTCATCCTTCGAAATGTCTGAATAAATTTCAGCAAATTCCAATGCTAAATGAAAACGGTCCTTAGAGATAGATGGATAAAAATCCACAATATCAAATTGGTTGGAAGTACAATTATTTTTTACTTTAAAGTTCTTAAACCAGTTGATCAGAAGTACCTCTGCACTGTATAAGGTTAACTTGATTTTTTTCATTTGAAAGCTAACTCTTTTTAAAATTACTTATTTTACTGATATATATATATATATATATATATATATATATATATAAACGTGCTATAACCTAAAAGTCTTATCAAGTTACAGTTTCGTATAAAAACGACAACAGAAAAAAAGGCCTAAAAGCACACTTACCTACTTAGTAAAATGAAGTGCTCGAATCCTAGACAGCCTATGTTGAGCAAAAAACGCTTAACTATGTTAAATCCTATGAATGGATCGCTCTAGTCGTAACCCAAGTTTCACGTTCACGGAATCTTCAGACGACTTGAACGTTCAATTGAATAAGCGTGAAACTCGTATACATATATATATATATATATATATATATATATATATATATATATATATATATATATATATATATATAGATATAGTTGGATTGATGTGAGTTTGTGAACCTGGGTTTCACGCTATTTGCGTTCGTCAGACAAATTGATTAATATATATATATATATATATATATATATATATATATATATATATATATATATATATATGTCTATATAACTGATATATATATATATATTAATAGATATATATATATATATATATATATATATATGTCTAATGATATATATATATATATATATATATATATATATATATATATATATATATATATATATATATATATATATACCCATACCACGTATGATTTGATTTTACTTTAATTTCCTGTTTCATGACTAACAATTTATTTCTTTTGGGGTTGTGCTTTGTTACTTGCTGTTGAAGTCTCCCCGCGTCTTAAAGGATTTTTTTTATGCTTTTATCTAATTTAATTTATGATTTAATCTAAATTTATCTGTTTAATCTATTACAATTTAATCTATAATTATTCTTTGAACTTATATTATTATATCTAATCCTTTATATTTTAATCTATAATTAATCTATATAATCTTGAAATTTAATCATATTTTTAAACTAGGTAGGAACATTTTATCTACTTAAAAACGTTTTCCCTTATATTGGAAAGTTTTATTTTTGGTTATTACTTATCTAATTCTTCCTTTATGTTATTATTATCATACTTATTATACAACCCAGGTTGTGTGTGTGTGTGTGGCTGTTCATTTATATATTAGATCGGATTTCCTACATTTTTCAACTTCTTTCAACAAAACTTCACAGGACTACGTAAAATTACCTTGCGGTGGTTCTGACAGCGCCAAAATTTGTAAAAACACAATTGTTTTTGCAAGAAATCAATGTGAAAACACGATTAAGACGCATCGCTGTCGCGAGAATAAAAGGGGGACAACTCATATCGAGTTATACTTATTATAAAAACCAGGTTGTGTGTGTGTGTGTGTGTGTGTGTGTGTGTGTGTGTGTGTGTGTGTGTGTGTGTGTTCGTTTATATATGGGATAGGATTTCCTACATTTTTCAACCGATTTCACCAAAACTTTTTTTGGCAGGTAGTGTTTCTTATTGTCTTGCACACTTATTTCTTTATTTTTACATTCAGAATGCTTTTAAAATTCCATTTACAAGACAATTGTTTATAATAAAATTCTATTCAATCGGTAGACTCATAACGATTGAAAACAATGTTTTTGTTTGAGTTTTAACCAAAAAAAAAAAAAAAAAACTAATTAAGACATGCGTGTCCGTCAACCTTAAACAATAATCTTTGTCAATTTTATTTTTCAGTTTTATGATGGTTGATACTTGATCTATCTCTTAATGTTACATCTCCGGGCAACGCCGGGCTCTACTGCTAGTTTTTAATATTCACATTTTTCTTGTTTATTTACTAAAAATGATTAAATTTTTTATTATAATATTAGATTCCTTTTTATTTATATTTATTCTTATATAATATTAAAATTGTTTATATAGATATGATATAAACATAAAATATAAATATAAATTTAAATATATTTAATATTATGTAAATATATAAAATTAATATTTATTATAATATTTATTATAAATTATTATTAATATAAATTAATAATTTAAAAATCAACATTTTTAATAAATAATTAAATATATAATATTTAAATAAAAGTATTATTGATTTCATAAATAAATTTTACTTAATAATAAATTAATAAGAGTATATAACATTTGAGTAAATATTTAAATAAGTAATAAGTAATTAAATTAATATTAATAATTTCATAAACAAATAAATTTTTTTAATAACCTTTTCTTAATATGTTAATATACATATATAATAATTTAATATGAGTTATTAGTATATAAATTATTAATAATAATTTTTTTTATAATATTAAAATTATAATATAATAATTATAGTATTATATTCATATATATATATATATATATATATATATATATATATATATATATATATATATATATATTGACGTTTCCAAGTGCGTCTATATGATACAATTTAAAAATCATATTGTACACAACCATAGCGTTTCTCACTTCACATGTAAAAATTTAATTTTCAGATGAAAACAATAATTTGGTCTCAGATAAATGATGAACACAACAATTTTAAGTCTTAGAAAAAACAAGACCCTGAAGACGACATTGTGCTAATGTCGAAAGTACTCGGAATAAAATGAATATGCATCAACTTGGTAATTTTCTGACTTGGCCGTAATTATGAGACGATCTTATTAAAATAAGTGGACAAAATTTGTGTAAATTATTTAATGAGACATAACTTAAAAAAATATACTCCCAAAATACACACACATATATATATATATATATATATATATATATATATATATATATAAATATAATATATTTTAAGGTGTGCTATGTTTATGGGATAAAGTGCTCAATATCAGAGATAGAGCGTATGTAAATATAAATATAAAAGTGAACATTGAAGTCAACACTCAGAGGCGACAGGTTCTTTCCTGCTAGGCGCAATCGTTAGTCCGCCTGACGACTGCGTCTAGCATGAAACACCCTGTCGCCTCTGAGTGTTGACTTCAATGCTCACTTTATATATATATATATATATATATATATATATATATATATATATATATACCGGGTGTAACAGCAAAATTGTCCAAATCGTGTTACAGAATAATTGTTCATCCTGCAAAATGTTTAATATCTAAAAACCACTGAACTAATTGAGTTTCTTTTTTCTTGATTTACATTTATATATTTATTCTCTGGATTCCACCTTCAAAGACCATTCAAGAACCATCAAGAGAATGGCGAATAAGTTTCAAAATGAGGGAAGAGCAGAGAGACAAAACTGGATCAGGAAATCACAACAGGAAGAGGGGTCATTTCGACTTAGAACTAAATATATCAATTAGAAAAGATGCAACTCAATTCATAAGACGTTTGGCACGCGAGACAAAACCGCGGAGAATTCCTGTAAGAAATCTTTAATTATTTCTAAGATAAAATAGTTCAAAGCTTAATCGAACAATTGAACAATTTTACTGTTTCAGGATTTGGAAAAAGTTGCTGTTACTTCCAGTATAATATCAATTCTCGCATATGGCAATAAAAGCTGAACATTTTTGTCACAAAGACTTGAATTGAAATGACTCTCCTCAGGGTCGGGTTATGACGTTTTATCGCCCCTAGTCTAATGAAATTATGTGCCCCACTCAGACGGAGGTACCCTTGAAATCGCCTGCATCCGTCTTGAATACTTTAGCTTAATCTAACAATCGAACAAATTTACTGCTAAACCTGATATACATACATACATACATACATACATACATATATATATATATATATATATATATATATATATATATATATATATATATATTTAAGTTAAAAAGCCCTACATGTTATTTTCCTTTTTTTTTTTCACACGTGTATTGAGCACTTTTTAATACTACTGTTTCCTCGTCTGATTCAACTTTGATCATTAACCTTATATATATATATATATATATATATATATATATATATATATATATATATATATATATATATATATATATATATATAATATGATATTTGGGTGTATTCGTCGTAAGATATTTATACAACCGCCACAAGCTTTATATTATTTTTTTTATATTTTCCTTAATATTCTTTTCTGATATATTTGTTAATTTAATAATCTTTAATTCTGAATTATCTTCCTTTCATATTTTGAGGTTTATTACTTATTATGTTATATAATATTTGCTTTTTATTTCATTAATTTCTGAAGGTTCATTTGGTTCAGGTATTGTCTGACTTCTACTGGCTGTATTAAATAGGTCATCTTTTTCTCTCCTTTGCCTTCTTCCCTTCCTTTTCATTCATCATCTTCTTTTTTTCCCCTGTTTTTCTTCCATTTTTTCCTCCACTTTCAACTTTGAGCATTTATCTAAAATATATATATATATATATATATATATATGTGTGTGTGTGCGTGTTTGTGCGTGTATTTTTTTGTGCGTGTTTGTGCGTGTGTGTGTGTGTGTGTGTGTGCGCGCGTGTGTGTGGCGAACAACAGTTGAACAAACAAAACTAGTAGGCTCAGCGTCTCGGTCTGGATGACTTGCTATTTCTTGGTAGTACAAACCTCCGTCTACACAATTTCACTCATAAGGCTTAGGTCAAACACTTTCAAAAAGCGCTGCACGCTGGTTTCACCCCCCCCCCCCAAGGACTATAACATCAAGAAGTCACCTTCCTGATAAATCGAGATTCGGAACATGGGTTTCATGGCTACAAAGCGAAACCGTTCATAATGTAGCCATCATAAAATATGCACGGATATATTCCTCGAACAAAATATAGGGATAAATAAGAGATTTAGATCACGAATAAAACACTGAAAAAGATAGATAGATAGATAGATAGATAGATAGAGAGATAGATAGATAGATAGAATTTTAAAACGTATCCATCTTAAAATATATATATACTTTCCACTTTTGTTTGTCGAACAAACTGAAAGGTCGGCATCATTTCGCTGGAACACGAAGGCAAGTTTTGGAACAAAAGACAGACACAAGACTTCCCCTTCAATCTGACACCGGAATTTAATCCGGGCTTATGACAAAGATAATCCGCTTTAGCCAGATTAGTCTTATGAATGGATGTGAAGGGTGAACTTTTAGTAAGTACCATCACACCCTGTCCATACATACAAATCTCGGTACGCATAAATACGCATTCTTGCTATATATATATATATATATATATATATATATATATATATATATAGCTGTACCTTTATAAGTATATGACTTTATTGATTCCCCGAGGCATAACTTGAGCCGGACACATAGTTGCTTTCTAATAATGTCTACATAGATATTGACAGATTCTTATACATATGAGTGTACAGAGGTCTATGACTTTACCAAGAAAACATCGTGAATCCGTAAATAATGCCATAAAACGAAAGGAGAAGTAGAATGGTAGAGAAACATTAATGGGTAGATACGGAGACAAGATAGATAGATAGATAGATAGATAGATAGATAGATAGATAGATAGATAGATAGATAGCGAAATGAACAACGGAGATTTATTTCAGGTTATGATCTACGGTGAGAGTGAACGCTGAAAATTTCTCGATTCGAATATGGAGCCCTTCCAAAAACAAAAACAAAAACAATCTAATGTTTGCTCATTTTATCATGTTTTGGGAATTGGGTTGGTCGAATGACTTTCCAGCATGCCATCATATGCATCCGAAAGAATTAACAATAGATAGATAGATAGATAGATAGATAGATCTGAACAGACCGAGATAGATAGATAGATAGATAGATAGATAGATAGATAGATAGATAGATAGATAGATAGATAGATAGATAGATCTGAACAGACCGAGATAGATAGATAGATAGATAGATAGATAGATAGATAGATAGATCTGAACATATATAGATAGATAGATAGATAGATAGATAGATAGATAGATAGATAGATAGATGGTGTTTATCAATTCACCCACAGGAATTGAATGTGGCGGAGCAAGGCCCTTTCCTCTGTGGGTATGTCTGAGCCCGTAGGCCCAGCCAAAAATAAAACCCATCTAAACCCGTCCAAGCAGGGATAGTTCCGTCAACCTCAATAGATAGATAGATATGAACAGACTGAGATAGATAGATAGATAGATAGATAGATAGATAGATAGATAGATAGATCTGAACAGACCGAGATTGATAGATAGATAGATAGATAGATCTGAACAGACCGAGATAGATAGATCTGAACAGACCGAGATAGATAGATAGATAGATAGATAGATAGATAGATAGATAGATAGATAGATCTGAACAGACCGAGATAGATAGATAGATAGATAGATAGATAGATAGATAGATAGATAGATAGATAGATAGATAGATAAAGAACGGGTTGAGATAGATTAGCACTGAAAAGTTCTCGCTCCGCCGGAGGACTTCCCAAAACAGTTTGATATCTGGTCATTTAGGTAAACTTTGGAAATTTGTTTAGGTCAACGACTTTTCCATACCCTATCGTAATACATAAGAGAGAGAAAGAGAGACTTCTCTTTTACTCTCTCTAACCAACAATCTCTTGCAAAAAATTAAAGAACTCAAAAAATTGCGCAGCAATTATTTCGATTAACCGCGTTGCTCTGAACGATTACTTCGCTACTTAGAAAAATGTAAAAAGTTTTACTTTGTTTTTTTTTTATCATTTCACTCCAAGCAAGGCAAGAAAGCCACTAAGACACACACAAGAGCTTAATGAGTGTGAAAGAACATCAGAAAAAGTAAAACATTTAAGAGGAGAGAGCAACAAAAGAACATGAATTAAGAAGTCAAGATAACGATTTACATTGCATAGTCAGTCAGTTATGTTCCATGCGTGATACACGCTTAGGCGATCATGTATCTTTCGATACATGGCTGACAAGGCAGATTTTTTGCCGCAGTAGGTTGCCATTTCTTTCTGCAGTAGACCAGTTTCCATGACGAGTATAGAACCTCGTTTGTCCAGCAACTTACCCAGAAAAAGCGGATTCACACCTTTCCCAAGGGTATTTGCACGTAAGTGAATGTAATGGATTCAACTGGAATTCGAACTCGGCTCTCCGATTCCTCAATCCGAGTCAGTTGGCAATAAATTAGTGACTGATGACTACAAAAAAACAAAAAAAAACACTGTTGATTATTTACGGATAATTTGTTTAAATAATGCACTGACTATCGTTTGAACCACGTGGCAAATAAATGGAAGTAAAATGAACCACTAAAATAAGTGAGCAATTAATCGTTTTAAGTTCCTTAAATAACGGTGCCTTTTAATTTCCCCATAAAAAAAACCTCTGAAATTAATCACTACTTTAAAAACAGTTTTAGTTGGCAATAATATAAGTGACTGATGACTATAAAAAGTCATTGTTGGTTATTTACAGGTAATTTATTTAATAATACACTGACTATCATTTGCGTCACATGACAATAATTGCAAGTAAAATGAACTACTAAAATAAGTAAGCAAGTAATCTTTTTACGTTCTCTGAATATAGGTACTAAAAAGAAACATGATGTTTGTACATTCGACAAATTTTGATAACTAGGTTCGACTGACAACACACACCCGCACCCGCACACAGACGCGTGCACACACACACACACACACACACACACACGCACACGCACACACACGCTTACATACAGAGACTTTTATTGAAGGAGGAGATAATAATTATTTAGTGATAAAAGTTTTATTAATTAACCCATAGCTAGGGGAAGAAGAGGCGGATTCATTCCTTTCACAAGGTTATTTGACGCGCTGACACTATAGTAAAAACTCAGATGCCAAATCGATTCCGAATTGACCAAAGGTTTCATTCAAGACATAATTACTTCTACTTAAAAAAAAAAACTAACAACGAAAATACATTACCACTGAGATGTCTAAATGCACTAAGAAATACCCCTCCCCACGATCTAGCTAGAGCCATAGTAAAAATTTTAACCCCTCTTCTAGAAACAATCAGTCCAACACATACAAAAAAATCACCTAATCTTGTTGAGAAACAAATATGACTGACAAACTCATGGTCAGTCTAGATATAAAATCACTTTGCACTAATATCCTGATTTAAAAATATATAAATCTCTTAAAATGCATATATAACAATCAAAGATAAACCTTTCCTTACCAATATCCTGGGTAAGACGATAAACTACATCCGCGTCCTGGGTAAGACGATAAACTACATCCGCGTCCTGGATAAGACGATAAACTACGTCCAACCGCAAGGCCTCTGATCAGGAGATTTTGAGGAGCGTAGAACCACCTCTTAATTGCTGGTGTTCCCAGGTCCACCCTGACCCGGAGTGGTAGCACCTGTTAGGGTCCCAACTGTGGGAAAATAGTTAACACCCAAACTTGTGTAAAAATACCTTTTAATACCAGAAATATTGTGTAATACTTTGAAAAAGAAAATTATTACCAACAATAATTTTTGAAGGAAAAATTATTATCAACAGTACTTTTAAAAAAATACCAGCAATAAAAACAGCTATATATTTTTGGAAAAAAAATAATAACTATAGATTTCTAGGAGGGAAAATTGATTTTTGAAGAAAAAAATATTCCCAGAAACATTACTAGCAATAAAATTTTTGTCGGCATTAAATAATCCATTGAGGTTGATATGCTGTAAAACAAAACAAACCAAACCAAACCAAGCTTACTAATAGCTAAAATAATAAAAAATTTGCCGTCTCATCACCAATCAATACTATTTCACATTTAATAACATTTTTTACAAACAAAAGTTTGGATTACCAATGGGATCACCTCTCAGTGGTTTGATGGCATGTATCTTAGAATTTTTCGAATCTGGTGTTTTTCAAAATATTTTACCTAAACAATCAACTTACTTCCGATATAATGATAATGCTCTATTAATATGTCCCCGTGATACTAACTTACTGGATCTTGTAGATAACCTAAACAAAGCCGAAATACATTAGAATTTACATACGAAATAGAAAAAAAAATAATTTACCTTTCTTAGACATCATGTTACAACGCGTTGACAACAGCCTAAAACTTAGTGTCTACCGAAAATCAACCAATAAAAATGATCTAATAAATTTCTATTCCTATCATAACAAATAAATAAAATCCGGAAAGATCATTGAATTCTCTTTAAGAGCACTCTAAAATTGCAGCCCTAAATATTTACGCGAAGAGGGGAATTATTCTGAAAATACTTTCAAGACCCTTCTATACTCAGACCATTTTATATTCAATGCGGTACAAAAGGCTCATAAAATATAACAAATTAGAAAAGTTGTCTTTCCTGAAAATTCCAACGAATGAAAAAAATTGTATTACAACTACAACCGAAAAGAATTTATCTAAACTCAATACAAAATTTGTCACAACCACATCTAAAACAAAGACATAATCAATAAAAAGAACAAAGCCACAGGACAAAACTATATAAGAATCTATTGGAGAAACCTCAAGAAGTTTAAACAAAAGACTATATGAACACAAAAGGGATATTTTAAAAAACAACGCACAAAGCACATTGATTGTTCTTCATAACGAATCTGACCACAATTTTGATATAGTGAATCTTACTCTGATTAAAAGAGAAAATAATTCAATAAAACGAAAATGACTAGAAAGTTCCTTGATCGCGATGTCAGCCACGGTAAATTTGCGTCCAATATATCACCGTTGTTGGCAGATTTTCTGTTGTCACAACGTAGGATAGTCAAGAAAAAAAGGGGATAGATAGAAAAAGGAAAAGAAAAAGAATATAGAGGACATGGCTGAATTGAAAAAATATTATTTCAAAAGTCTTGAAACTACCAGTGTCTCTCGTTTCGTGTACATGTGTAGTCATGGCAACATCGACAAAGCCCTCTTCGATGAAATTCTATCGAATGAAATGCCTCAAAAAACTGTTTTCCAATTTGTCATTCTATTTTTCTCAATACTCTTTCTTGATATATAAAAATTAAATCATATATATATATATATATATATATATATATATATATATATATATATATATATAACGTAGTACTCCTCTATAAAACGAATCGAGTTCTCTCGGTCACTGGTGTTTTTATCTAAAATAAATACGTTTAAATTCGCTTTCATCCCGTGTGCCAAAAAAGGATTAAGGGTAGATTCTCCGACTGACGCAAATCAGCCGCGTTTCGATCCTAGTTAAAGACAACAAGAGGTCTAGCCACACTGATGAGCCGTAATACAGCGAAACGGTCTGTCTGCGGATGGCAATAGATATATATATATATTATCATTCATATATATATATATATATATATATATATATTCTTTTTTTTATACATACAAATATTTAAGTAAATGCTCTGTTCATAACAAACAGTATTAACAACATTTACTGGCCTGAATGTCCGAGAAATTGTCATAGAAAATATGCGTCCTCCGACAGGAATCGAACGTGTATCCTATACGGAACCATCATGTAGCCTGACGTGCTTTCACCGGTTTCGACACAGAGGAGAATTTCGGTTAGCAAGGTCGATTTTACTGTTTTTAAACTACAATTCTCCAGGATTTTCTCTCATACATTCATATCTGCTCGATGTGTATCCAAATGTAAACAAATGACGTCACACATTATGAAATGGACAATGTCCGACAATTATTTTTAAGACATTTTTATGTTTATCTATAAAAAAAGAATGTATAAACATAAAAATGTCTTAAATATATATATATGTGCGTGTGCGTGTGTGTGTGTGTGTGTGTGTGTGTGTGTGTGTGTGTGTGTGTGTGTGTGTGTGTGCAGATATATGGAAAAATAGGAAAGAACACGTTAGGTAAATAATCCGGAGTTCTTTAGTATTTTTATTTTTAAAAACAGTGCTCCATACAGCCGTTTCCATAGTAATTAATTTTATGAATGAACATGCTTATGAAGATGCGTAAATTTCAAGAATTTTCGCTTGAGGATGAAAGAGGGCTTGACACTTTAACTGAATTTAATTTTAATAATTAGTTTGAGGTTTTCGGCTCTCGTTTTTGAAACATGAGAACTCTTATGTAGCGAAGAAATCTTTTTTTTAAATAATTATTATTATTATATATATATATATATATATTATTGCAGATAACATCAAGAAATCACCTTCCTGACAAATTGACTGTAATAAGATTCGAACCCGATTCTCGTGGGTAGAAAGCCAGCCATTCATAAAGTAACCATCTTAAAACATACACATATATATTCCGCATATTCGGCCACTTCGACGTGGTGTGATAGTTAGCAAGCTTGTCTCGCTAAATCAATTACGACTGAGTAGTGAGTTCGATCCTCACAGCGTGCCCTGTACTTTCGACCTTGATCCACATCTAAGCTACGCTTAGAAAATCTATTCCTATGTATATATATACGTTCTGCATCGAAGAACTGGATAAAGTGGGAGAAAGAAAGCATATTGCATAGAATGGGGTTTTGTTGGCAGAGGATAGAAATAGACAAATCTTGTGACGAAATAACAACAAAGAAAGTCTCTATGAAAAGAAAGAAATAAAAAGATTTAAAGAAATCGCGGGAAAAAAACAAGAAATCTGAAAGAAGCTGAAAATGGAAGAGAAGAAGGAAAAAAAAACATTATCTTTAGTCAGAAATACTTTGATGACAAACACCAAAGACGATGACGAATCAAACTTCAGCCGATGTATTGGGAAAACAACTCCATATCTTGACAGAGCTTTTGATCGTAAGGCCAAAAACCCCGTTTGGATTTTTGTCCAGTCCACCAGCTTTCAAATTCCCCTCCCCCGGCCCGGTCGACCAAGCCCTGTCGTAGGTAGAATTTTGATCGAAATTGCGACTGACTGCGCAACCTTTTATAAAGATTGCAGGTCGGCATTGACCCGAACCGAACCTATATCGTATAGACAGCTGTCAATTTTGTCCAGTCGTGAATGCCGGTGTGACATGGCGCCTATAAAGAAAACTGACCCTTGACAACGACTAGTTCTTTTAAAGAAAAGGACAGTTTTCTCCTTTTTTTTTTTCTTCTTAGAACTTTCCTTATCTTCATTTTTTCCCTATCTCGTTCTTTTGTTCTTTCATGTGCAATTTCCAATTAAAATAATGAGAGCATGATTAAAATAAGAATATTTACTATGAGTAAAAGAAATGATGATTTTTATAATGGTGGAAAATCGGTTTAAAAATGACGAGAAAGGAAAAATAAGTAAGAAGAAGAAAAAAGAAAAATTGAAGGGCGGAAGTAGAAACGAAACGCGAAAAGAGAAGAAGACATCAGACAAAAAAAAACAAAGGTTTAGCAAAAACGATAAAAGAAAAAATCAATTAAGAAAGAAAGAAAGAACAACAAATAAACAATGTAGTAATGAAAGAACGAAGTTAAGAAAGAAAAGAAACGATTGAGAAGAAATAAAGAACACAGAGAGTGAACAAAAAAAGAAAGAAAGAAAGAAAGAAAGAATAAACGAAAGAAAGAAAGAAAGAAAGAAAGAAAGAAGGCATGAGCCAAGAAACACAAAAATGCTGAATTAAAGTCATAATGACCAAAGAACGAAAAAAATATGAAAGAAAATAGAAAGAAAAAATCGGCTTGAACGAAGGAAGAAACAAACAAACAAACAAACAAAAAACAAAGAAAACCGAGCTTAAAGAAATAGAAAGAAACGGAATCTAAAAAACAAGGTATGTCTGGAAGGAAGGAAGAAAGAAAAGAAAAACGAACGAAAAGAAAGAAAGAAAGAAAGAAAGAAAGAAAGAAAGAAAGAAAGAAAGAAAATAGTTTATAGAAATAGAAACAAACGGAATCTAAAAAACAAGGTATGTCTGGAAGGAAGGAAGAAAGAAAAGAAAAACGAACGAAAAGAAAGAAAGAAAGAAAGAAAGAAAGAAAGAAAGAAAGAAAGAAAGAAAGAAAGAAAGAAAGAAAGAAAATAGTTTATAGAAATAAGAAACAAACGGAATCTAAAAAAACAAGGTATGTCTGGAAGGAAGGAAGAAAGAAAAGAAAAACGAACGAAAAGAAAGAAAGAAAGAAAGAAAGAAAAAAAGAAAGAAAGAAAGAAAGAAAGAAAGAAAGAAAATAGTTTATAGAAATAGAAAAGAAACGGAATCTAAAAAAACAAGGTATGTCTGGAAGGAACGAAGAAAGAAAAGAAAAACGAACGAAAAGAAAGAAAGAAATAAAGAAAGAAAGAAAGAAAGAAAGAAAGAAAGAAAGAAAGAAAGAAAGAAAGAAAGAAAGAAAATAGTTTATAGAAATAGAAAGAAACGGAATCTAAAAAACAAGGTATGTCTGGAAGGAACGAAGAAAGAAAAGAAAAACGAACGAAAAGAAAGAAAGAAAGAAAGAGAGAAAGAAAGAAAGAAAATAGTTTATAGAAATAGAAACAAACGGAATCTAAAAAACAAGGTATGTCTGGAAGGAACGAAGAAAGAAAAACGAACGAAAAGAAAGAAAGAAAGAAAGAAAGAAAGAAAGAAAGAAAGAAAGAAAGAAAGAAAGAAAGAAAGAAAATAGCTTAAAGAAATAGAAAGAAACGGAAACTAAAAACAAGGTATGTCTGGAAGGAAGAAGAAAGAAAACAAAAACGAACGAAAAGAAAGAAAGAAAGAAAGAAAAGAAAAAAAAAGAAAGAAAGAAAGAAAGAAAGAAAGAAAGAAAGAAAGAAAGAAAGAAAGAAATAGAAAAAATATTAAAGACAGAAAGATGGTTAGAAGAATTAAGGAGTGGAAAGAAAGAAAGAAAGAAAGAAAGAAAGAAAGAAAGAAAGAAAGAAAAGAAGAAAGAAAGAAAGAAAGAAAATAGCTTAAAGAAATAGTAAGAAACGGAAACTAAAAAACAAAGGTACGTCTGAAAGGAAGGAGGAAGGAACAAAGAAAGAAATGAAAAAAACGAACGAAAAGAAGGAAGGAAGGAAGGAAGGAAGGAAGGAAGGAAGGAAGGAAGGAAGACAGACACAACGAAACTAACAAACAAGAGAAGGATTTGCAGCACGAAAATGTCAAATGTTTTAGGACAGGAGAAACGACAAAAAAAAAAGAAATAAGAGAAGACTAGTATTTCTTTGAATGAGGCAGAAAGGGGGCGCAGGGTGGGTGTGGAACCGCTTCTTTATTCCCCGTTGCTCTTTTAAATCTGGCTGGTGTTGTTACTGTTGTTGTTGTTGTTGTTATGGTGGTTGTTGTTGTTGATAGTGGAGGCGGCGGAAAGGCTGGATTTTCGGACCGCGATGAATGTGGTGGTCATAATAGCGGCATTGGTGGCAGTGGTGGTCGTCTTGAAGAGCGAACGCTGCGCCTTCTTTGAGACTGGAGACCGTGACACAGAGTGACAGTCGGATGGTTTGTGAGGGGACGGGGAGCCAGGGGCCAGAAATGCATAGCTTGAGTGGCGGGTCGGGATATGTAAAGGTCGGGTGACGAGGTAGGGGTGGCGAACAGAAAAACCTTAAAGGGAAATAAACATGCCAAGAAAAAGTCACCCGCAGAATCACTGAGCCATAAGCCATATCTTGTCTTTCTCTTCCATGTGACTGGCCACCCACTGCTCGATAACTCAGGCACATACATAATTTCATCCTGCGTAGACATATAGCCAATGTCCCCAAAAATGTATATATATTTTGTTTGTAGATAGCAGCAATGCTACTTACCAGAAAGTTTATTAAACACTTCCACATTAACAAAAATGGAATAAAAATAAATCAACGTATGTTTTTTTTTTACAATGATGTTCACACTGGCCCAAGGTCCAAGATCTAGTCGACGGTTACAGAGTAAGAGGCACAGTTTGTATTGCTATTTTTTAATCAATTCGCACCCACCAAGCAAGGCACCACCAAGAAGTAAGTGGGTTGAAAAACAATGAAAAGATAAACCTCTACTCCTGTTCAAAATACCGGGACAATAGGCGAAACTATCTAATTGAATGGAGCAATGGATAGCGGCTCGGATTGATGAATCGAAGTGACTAGTTCGAATTCAAATCGAATTCTATAGCCTTGGGTACCAACCGGTCTAGGAGAAGAAAACTCTGAATTCAAAAACCTCTAATGAAACACTAAAGCATTCTGGGTTCTATAGCAATCAGACAACAAGAAGAACAACTCAAATTCAAATCCAGAGCCAGCTTGTCTAAGACAGTCCGATTTCATGTTAAATTTCATTCTGCCAAGCTGTATTGACCCCTGCCATTTCCTTGGGAAACATCAGTGGTGTGCTGACGGGAGACGTTCATTTTAAAATTTAAATGCAATATCATTCTTTATTTTCTGTCTTCTTAATTCCTGTTCGTTTAGTGCTCCTTTACTTTTATGATGTTTTCTTTTCCTTATATTCGTTCGCACTCAGTAAGCCTTGCGTCTTAGTTGCTTTATTGTCTTTATTAGGGTGAAATGATTTTAAGTATATCTTAATTACACTTAAGCTAAACAGTTTTAATATCTGATGCCTTATGTGTCTCACGATGAAATATCAGGTGATCTTGGAATTATATGTTTTCTTTTGGTCTGTGGTTTTCAATGTTAAACAGGGTTTGTGACGTATCCAATCCAAACGTGAGTATATTCTATTGGGTCCTTGTAGATTTAGATTTGCTCCTAATCAACTGACATAAAGTGGAAAAATAATATTGAATTAATTGCTAGGTTTGCTATTATTAAAGTTGGTTGACTGTGATAATATTTCTCGTCAGAATCTATATTAAACACTACCATTAGTCCATGTACTGAATACTGTTATCTCATTTGGTCTGGGACCTCCATTAAGTGTTTAGAGATTCTTGAAGAAATACAAAGAATAACCTCCAATGTTATTGGTCCAAATCTGGCATTCCGGCTTCAGTTGCATTCCTACATCCGTAACGTAGCTACACTGAACTTTTTCTGTAAATACTTTCATGGTAATTCTTCTGAGGAGATTTTCTCTATGGTAGCTAGACTTCATGAATTTAAGCGGAGTACTAGATTGTCGACAGGAGATTTCGAAGTCGTCTGGAGGCTGTGGTTGAAGCTAATGGCGATATAATTGAATAAATTTAGTCTTTAGCCTTTCAAGTTATTTTGGGGCAATTTTGGTAAATATATCTGTTAAAATGAGATGTCAGGGTTATTTTCATTTTATGTCAATTTAGACATCAATTCATCAATCGCACCTGTATATTCATATTCATATATATATATATATATATATATATATATATATATATATATATATATATATATATATATATTCAGTCAAAAAGAATAACAGCTAAAATTCAAATCCGGAGACAGAATGCCTAAGACAGTCCGGTTTCATGTTCAATTTCATTCTGCCACGCTGTATTGACCTCTGCCATTTCCTTGGACAAGGTCAGTGGCGTGGTGACGGGAGACGTACTGCATCGACAACTGACGATCATTCAAAAAATAACCCTGAGGGCATAACTCTTCGGGCACTGATCAAGGGTCTCCTGTGACTGACGGATGGCATATACAGGTGCGATGGGTAAATTGTCGCCATTTTATATTTTTAAATTCACTAATACACATTTTTTATTTTTGATGTTGTCGACTGCACAGTATAGCAGGGTCAGTCGGACACCGTCTGTTGGGGTGGGGTGGAAGAGCAGAAATTTGGAGACGGCATTCTGTACTTCTTGGCCTTGACATATATAAATAATAGAATTTTGGGGATTTAGGCAAATCATTATCGCAATTCGTCGAGTGTAGAAGAATCCTCAACAGAATGCAGAAAGGACTGGACGGCCGTTTCGCCCGATCTTGGGACAACTTCAGCAATGCACATCCACTGCCGTGATTCGAAACCGAACCGTTTCGAGACAATGTCACACCAACTGCAAAAGGTGACGAAGAAGGGACTGAATAAACACGATATAGCGCCGCTACTCACAAAATTCCGTGGTGATACTCATCCAAGTATTCATAATCCAACGGATTGTGCGCCAAGAGCGACAAATTTCCTTTCCCCCACGAACCGCTTCATCGCAGAGAATTAGCTGGGTCAAGTACGGAGATATTAATAGAATTTTAGAGATTTAGGCAAGTCATCGTGTCTAGAAGAATCCTCAACAGAATGCAGAAAGCACTGGCACTTCTCATACATTTGATAGGGTTCTTTATACCTCATATATCACTTTTATATATATATATATATATATATATATATATATATATATATATATATATATGTATGTATGTATGTATTTATTGTCATCCACAGACAGACTGTTTTGTTGTATCACAGCTCATCAATGGGCTAGACGTCCGGCTACCTCTAGCTAGGATCGAAACCCGGCTGAATTGGCGTCTGTCAGAGATTCTACCCATTTAGCTGTAAGGTGAATTTAAACGTATTTATTCTTAGATAAACACTCAGTGACGGAGAGAACTCTGATTCGTCTTACCGAAGAGTCTTGCATTATTAGCCATTATATATATATATATATATATATATATATATATATATATATATTGTTATGGTGTGGTTCCTTGTGCCACGGCGATAGTCCAAGGTAGAACCAATACAGAAGAACTCGAAGGCGGATATGGAATAACACAGATATATTACAAACAGGAATATATACAGAGAAGTAGAAAGTGTTGTCAAAATCTGTGTTATTATTGAGGAGAGACCATGGCGTTTACATTTTACTTTTTCATGTAATTTTATTACAATTATTTCCTCGCTACATATATTAGTCAAACATCAGGTTGTCGATAAATGCGTCAAAACCTCATAAAACAGCCATATTAACAATTGCTTTTCTGCGATATTTTAAACTAAAAATTGTGGAACTCCCTTCCGGCTCCATGCTTTCCAGTCAAGTGTAATCCGCAAAAATTTAAATGCAATGTCAATCGCTATCTACTGGCCTCCTGATTATTATTTCCTCTTCCTGCTCATTATTAATGATTCTGTTCTTAATTACATATTCTATCCCATTGTGTCTTAGTGGCTTTACTGCCTTACATGGGGTGATAACGATTAAAAACAAAAGAAATATTTTTTTCAATTCAGATTAATTAAACCATGATGCTAAGAAAACATTTTCCTCCCAAAACCTCTTTCTTCCCCCTTGCTCCAAGATATATCAGACGTAGAAAACGGGCGGTCCCGCTGGGGAACGTTAGTTTCCCTGGCCCACTGATAATTCACTGTCACTTTCCACTTTCCAACGACAGCTTTTGACGTGGCTTGCAGCCCCATTTATTAAGTACTTTAATCGTTCCAACTCAGCGCATGGCTGACTTGAACATGATCATTATACCGATGCTTATTCTTACCCCAACTTCTGGACGAAGAAAATAAAAGGAAACATTCCATTACCATGCTTCCAACGATAAAATATGTACAAACTTTTCTTTGGTTGTTTCAACTCTGCGCAAGGCTAACTTAAGCTCGACCATTATTACGACGCTCATACTTACTTACCTTAACAATGGACGGAAAAGAAAACGAGTATAGGCAGGAGATATCTGTCTATATTTCTGAGATGCGGTATTGTAACTATTTACACTATTTACATTGTTCGGATTGCTGTCTTCATCTTTATTGTCATATTCACGGCGTATATCACATAAAGAAGGCTGGTGTGTACAACAACTGAAACCTCATGAATATGACAATAAAGATGAGACCACATTTCGAACAATGTAAACAGTTTAAATCACCCAAGAGACATTGACAAATTTGTTTCACTACAGTTTATACAAAAAAGCGAAGAAACGGTCCGTGGTAGAAACCCAATTTCTTGCATGGTTCTTTAATTGTAAACACGTGAACACGCACCCCAACGATAAAATACTTTTTTTGACAGCATAAAAAACTTAGGATAATTTTATATGCCCTTCCTTTATTTCAACAAGCCACATTCAAGGGGAAAGTTTGTGCATTTGCAATATTTAACGCAATCTATCAGTACATTACAAAACCATTTTAGGTATAGCGGAAAATATTACTCTGCATACAAAAAAAAGGAACAAATTCGCAATAAAGAAAAATAGCCATCATTTCATCAGTTATATTTCTTTGACTGCTTCGTATGACGGACATATTTCTCTGCGACCTTAATGCTAGGGTTTCCAGGTTTATATTTTACCATTACGGAAATTTCCTTTGCTGCACATTCTTCTGAAGTTTCCAGTGAGTTAATGATATGAGTATGTTGGAGAATATCTAAGCATGGTGGATCAGCTGGTACAGCTGAATATCACCGGTTCTTTATTACGATAATTCCTTTTATACTACTGGTAATAAAAATAAAAATATATAATAATAATTTCTTTTGAATAAATAGTATGGTTTGGAGCTCGTAGAATTGGCCGTTTGAGGCAAAATTATAGCTTAGTGAGCGTTGGGGATGAAATGAGCCTACAGGGGACCCCAAGAGCCTACAGGGGACCTCAACTTCGCGAGAGAATTATTAGACCTTTTATTATAAAAAAAAGAAACTAGTTCTTATATGCCGTTAAATATGGCAAATAAATCTTGATAGTGCAAGAGTGGTAATTCAATAAAAAGCAAAAAAAGTTATAGAAATTTGCAAACTAAAAGAAAACTTAACATATATTGTAAAATATCGAGAGCAC